CCCCGAATCCCCACGGTACAACCAGCATAGGTTATTGGGAACCTGTTCTGACCCGGAATCCCCATGGTACGACCAACGTAGGTTGCTACTTTAACCTAGAATGCCGACAGGGTCTTTCATGTTTAAAATTTTCTTGCCTGGTAACTGGGTAAGAAGCTATGCCCAAACATCAGAGGGTAGAGACCACAACTTCATTGCAAGGTGGCTAAGAAAAGACCTGAACCCTGTTTGGCTGATTGAACTTAGAGTTAAGGACATCATGGTGCTATGTTAAAGATGCTAACACTGAACAAAGATCTTGTGTCTTTATATCAAGCATGAATGACTTGGCATGTTTTGGCGTCCACAAACTGCCAAGAACATTATGGAAAAAAACTAGCCTGGTCTATTTGATGTCAATATTATTAGAACCTTAAATTAGACTTGAACCTCATCCTGTTGAACTAACTACCATGCCTGACCATGTCAAGCAGGATGCAGGCATTGTCTGATGATGTCATCCTCTGCTGGTCTCATGGTACACTGCTAAGACATTCAGGAAGGAAACACAAATGTCCTGCCTAAATTTTATCAAGGATTTCCTTTCCCATTTTAAAATCATATTCAATTAAATCAAGTCTTCTTACAGACTCACTGCCTAAGGGGGGCACGGGTGACCCAGTCGTCTAAGGCGCCACGATTCGCTGTGCAGAGTTGCGTCCCTTGGTAGCATTCAGTGAATGAGTGAGTGAATATGGTTTTATGCCGCTTTTAGCAATATTCCAGCAATATCACGGCGGGGGACACCAGAAATGGGCTTCGCACATTGTACCCATGTCAGGAATCGAACCCAGGTCTTCGGTGTGACGAGCGAAAGCTTTAACCAGGCTTGAGCGTTCCAGGCTACCCGACCACCCCACAGTATTAAGTGAGCGAGTTGGGTTTAACGCAGCTTTTAACATTATTCCAGTTATATCACAGCATTCACAGCATTAAGAGGGATCAGCATAACAGTCATTTTACTGAACAATTCGAACCTGTCAAAAATGCTACCAAATTCTAAAAGGACAGAAACAAAAGAATTGGAGCAAGGCCTTCACATTCATCACAAACCTTCATGCCAAGTCACAGTACCATAATCAACGTAATAAGCACCCAGGGCGCTCTCAAAATTAGAAATGGGGGCCTCTTATTAGAATAAAATTTTGGTGAAAAAAAAACCAGAGTTGAAAGAACGTAAATTTCGTGGTTTATGCCTACAGCCTGAAATGATACAAAGTCTGTGCATATTATACACGACAGATATATTTTTCCAGAATTTAATTGCTCATAATTAAGGGTGCATATAACAAATGAGTGCGTATCATACACGGATGAATTAGTCTTGTGTACATTGATCAATCGGAAGGGGTGCTAATCGGGATTGTTCACTAGCCAATTTATTATCAAATCTCTCCATGGGCGCTTATTACGTCGAATACGGTAATTCCACATGGCCAGACTCGGATGTCAAAGTTAAGTTACCTGCTAGACATATGACCAATCATTCCCGATTCTTGTCCCAGACCAATAACAGCTATTCAAATAACGTTTGCTTGCGTTACCCCCAGGTTTAATATCCCTGTGTTATTTAACTGCCTGCCGTGCAGGAGAAGCCATTGTGTAATTGAAAGGGATAAAATCAGTGGCAGAAAGGCAATCTAGTTTACGTCAGTCTGCAGCACATCAACTGTCATATTTGTCTGCCCCATACTGGAGTAGAGGACATATTGACATTTTCTTGGCAAGGGAACTGAGGCAACAAGATTTCTTGAGGACAGCTTTTTTCCTAGCCAAATAACATGCATGAAAAGATGAAAGATGTGTTTATATTGGGAATAAATTACACCTCTTGTAAATATATTCAGGCTTTGAATTATCCTAACTGATGTAAAAAGACTTTGAGAGAAAGAAAACAAATTAAATGTTCCATCCAACCGATATTTACCTGTTGGGCACAACACAGTGTCTCTATGCTAGTTACAATGTCAATGGTAAACATGTTTTGCGTCTGAAGAGAAATAATTACAGTGCAACCAACCCCTTATGTGTATTGACTGAATACCTTGTGTTTCTTCAAAGATAATCATATTCTGGTTTCAAAATAAATCTTCTGGGCCCCGTTCCACAAAGTGATCTTAGCGCTAAGTTGATCGTAACTCCCATTCTTTAACACTGACTTACAACAATCGTAGCGCAAGATCGCTTTGTGGAACGGGGCCCTGGTGACCAGGAGGTGACATTAAACAGAAATGGTGTATCATGTATGATTTTTAAGTAGTTCGGAATTTAATACAGGGTTAAGATTAAGCATTTTGTAATCAGAACACTTTGTTGTTTAATGCCGCATTCAGCAATATTCCAGCTGTATGACGGAGGCCTGTAAATAGACTGGACCGAATAACCCAGTGACAGACACGAGTATCGGTCTACGCAATACTGTATTTTCTGATCCCTTCTGTGAAAACGAGACAAAGGGCACGCTACCAGACGCGATCGATCTGGGCAGATATTTGTACAAATAGTTACATACATCATGGTGACATCTTAATACATATACAAAGTCTACATCTCCTGATTACCAGCTGGTCGCTGCCACAATGGTCGTCGGTGTGCAATGTCTCTAGCTGGGTAGCATGTCTTGTGTCCTTTGACCAGCAACAACTAGAATTGCAGGAGATCTTGCAGATGGAATATGGACTGTTGTGATCCAATCACATGCAGCACCAGTCAGCAAGGCTGACCACCCAATCCTGTCGCCTCTTACAACAAGCATGGGTTGCTGAAGTCTGAACACTTTTTGAGTGAACTGTTTCCATGACAATCTACTCAGAAACACCTCTTGAGAGCCTCCCAGCCCTGCCATGTATGTGCAGAAATACCCTGCTGTATCTATTACAGATCTGTTCATTTGAAGGTGTTACTGATACATTACAACATTAGCTCATCATGAAACAAAGGGGCGACTAACAAATCTAAGAAAAACAAAATACTTCAGCTGAGAAAATGAAAGAGGTGATTAAAACTGGAAGCATTTGACAACATAAGAATAACCAATCAAATATTCGCAAAACATGAGTCAGGAATATATATATCATATAGCCCGCATCCTTCATTATCCTGGGTATAATATCGCTATTCTACTTTGACAAATACCCTGGAACCATTGTAATGTCGCCATCTCCATCTTGCCTATCTGTTACTGGGTATAGATGTTCTCCTGCAAGAGCAATTTGATTGGATGGCTATATTTGGCGTTCTGCCTTTCGAATGGAGCTCAAACGAAGCCAGGGTATTTATCAACATAAAATGGAGAGAGCATGCCCTGGATCACCGAGGATGATAGTCCATGTCCATTACAGCATCAAAGTTGTAAAACAGTAACATAAAATAATATATCAACTCTTGGACAAACAACAAAAATACATATCTACACAACCAACAAGCCAGGAAGAAATCAGGATACATAAGTTTACGTAACTGTCTTCATCATACTTGTTGCATCTTCCATAATGCAAAATATTTCCATTGTCACTATTTCTTCTGAAAGTTAAACCTCGATTGTAAACCCCACATATTTGTTATCAACCTCATCCACAAAACTTTCTACTTTATCACAGACAGATATGAATATAATATAACTCATGTGAGCACTTTTGAGGTCTACACAGATGAGAAGCAAGTTACGATTACTTTTTACCGACAGTCACGGACACTTTGTCAAAGTCTGATCAACCCCATTGTAAATACTTCACGGGTATGTATACACTGTCTTACACCATCACCTGTGTGTATGGCTTCTTTTTGGCATAGTGATGTGGGTCTATTAATCGTCAGCTATTGAGATGATGTCATGTATGAGTCACGGAAGTCACATGACACCTATTCCTTGCATGAACTTTGTGCACACCAACACTGCCTGATACTGAAGCAGTGTGTAGACCAGACACCTCCAGGCACATATTACACTCGCATTGACATTGACAAAGCAGCCATACGCATTCACGGGTGATGAGTGAGTGATGAGTTGGGTTTAACGCCGCTTTTAACAGTATTCCGGTTATATCGCGGCGTGTCAGCTTAATGTGGGAAGAAAGCCCGAAGTGATGCAGGTCTCAGACGTTTACCACTTCGGCGAAACCCACGAGCACGGGTATGGTGCTGACAAACCTAGAAACATAATCGGGGCGAACCAGGATTCGAACCCACAATCATAGGTTTCTGGCCTACCCAAGGGATGCAACTCTTCACAGCGAATCATGTGCCCCCTCGTGGGTGATGGAGGAATATACAGGACACAAACCTGTGAAGAATTGACGATGCCCATGCTTCAGTTTCTCGCATCTGTCATTTCAAACAATTCAATATTCTCTGCATAAATCAATATGCTGAACCAATATCAAACATTTTTCTCAATGCAAAAACAATTTTCTAACAAGCAGTCACAGAATAAAATCATTTTTGGTGGGTACGATCACAACACAATTGATGGAGTGTTCGAAATTGATGTGTCCTGAAGTCCTTGAGGTTTGCTCCTATAGTATCAACATACATCATTAGGATTATGACGAGGACCTCATGACTTTCATGAGTAATATCGAACACTGTGATGGATACCAATTAACATAAAAAACAGGTTTGTTCAAGCCAAATATGATCAAAGCTGATGAAAGCAAGAGTCTGGTATGGAATGTACCGTTGTAAATTTCAATCAGGGAGCACACATTTGATTTCTAGGGGGAGGGGGGAAAGATTTTTTAAATGAATATTTACTTAAATGAATAGTTTGTTTTGTAGAAAATGTAATTTTTGTGTGTAAATAGTGAAAATGAATAGATTCTTTGATGGTGCTCAGTGAATAAATAGTTTATTGGATATAACAGGGGTAAAAAATAGATTTTCTAAAAATTAAATTTCCAATCCTCCCCATTCCAAGAAAATGAATGCTCCCTAACAAGCCAACAATCCCTTTTGATAATCAGCAGTAAAGAAGAAAATGTATAGCTTCTTAAAAGAACCAAGATTAACATTGAACAATACAGAGAATGCTCATGGGGTGACATAAAACCATTACACCGTTATTCAACACTTGATCCCACGTCCCATGTATGTACAGGTTCTATGTTAGAGAGTTGGCCTCCTGCTCTATCTGCTTCAGAATCTCCTTTTCCAGGTCGTCATCCTCTAGATCAGCCCCCTCATTTACCATCTCATACTCCTGGAGTTCCTGTTGGAGCTCCTTCTCCCACTGGGGTATCTCCTCGCCTGGAAAACAGAGAGAGAGAGGGGTTAGAATGAAGACTGTTATCTGTCCACCATCTCACTCACTCCAGGAGATCTTCTGGAGATCCTCCTACTGGAGCATCTCCTCACCTAGAAAACAGAGAGAGAGAGGGGGGTTAGAATCTAGACTGTTATATGTCCACCATCTCACTCACTCCAGGAGATCTTCTGGAGATCCTCCTACTGGGGTATCTCCTTGCTTAGAAAACAGAGAGAGGGGGGGGGGGGGTAGAATCAAGACTGTCATCTGTCCAACATCTCACTCACTCCAGGAGATCAGGGAGAGCAGAGGGAGGGAGAGAGATAAAAGGGGAGTAGTACCAAGACTCTCTGTTAGATCACTCCAAGACCATCTCTTGGCCTAGGAGTTCCTTCCCCCACTGCAAGTGAGAGAATGTGAGTCATCATGGGGTTCATGGAGGTAATGTCAAAGAGTCAACTTGATTAGGTCCTTGCATACCCTTGCACAAATATTTCTGATCTACCAACTAGTGAAGCACTTGTCATAATTTCCCCAGATATTGCAGACCTACAAAACGACATCCAACCAAATACTAAAGCACTGTTAGGCACACAAAAAAAATCCAACACTTTGCATCACATATATTAAAAGCATATACAAGTAGTAGTTTGTATCTACTATTTAGAATGATGATGGGGACGCAACAGTGTAGGCAAAGGTAAGTGCTGCACACTTGGTTCATGTGTAGGAAACGCATACACAGCAAAAAACATATAAAAGCCACAAAACCTTTCCAACAAATAATTCCATTCACCTAAAAATATATTTTTTTAAAAATGACAAAACTTGAACACGACTATGCAATATATTGATGTTCAGCATAGATTCAAATTAAAATGTTTCCTTATTTGGCAATCAGCTTCTACTCACATATAACACGTAAAGGATTAAAGCAAGGATTAAAGCAAGGATTAACAGTGGACTCGAAGCCACCAACTCAGACACCTCCTAGTTTAGATATAAGCTCCATATCCCACAAAAGGATAGGGGGTTGGTGTGGCATAAAGATAATGTAAGGGAGTATGAGTATAGGGTGAGAAAGCACAAGCTCAAGATTACAGTCCACTGTATGGTGATAAGGTCATGACAAATTAATCATCAGATTTTCATCCCCATCCATCTCACTACAAGACACCAATCATGTGTACCAGTAGTATCATTTTATAATACCCCAGTGCCACAGATGAAGACAACTGCTCTTGTGTTCTTTACTTTAAGAAATACACCTCTGTACTCATGCGACACATAAATAAATAAATAAATAAATAAATAAATAAATAAATAAATAAATAAATTTAAAGAATAAATTAAAAAAATAAATTAAAAAAATTAATTAAAAAAATAAAATGATTTAAAAAACCCTTAAAAAAACTAACTAACTAGAATAAATAAATAAATAAATAAATAAATAAATAAACACAGTGCATCTTACCCGATACTGAAAATCCCTTACACTTCACATTTTTGACAAATTTGAATGAAATTCTAATAATTAATACATTGTGGTTTTACCGAGACCACTGTAGGACCATAAAGGTTGAAGATAGGACATAAAAAAGCATGCACCTTTCTCGGCAGTCATGTCAGGGGGCACCTGAGTTAGGTGAAGATACTGAGCAAAACCAACTGAAAATATACAAAAATGAACAAAACAATAACAAAACATCACAACAAAAATCCTTCAGCATACAGGAGACTCTTGCTGAAAGGAAACCTATCATCAAGGATGTGTTCCTCAACTTCTTCCCTACTGATGACGTCCCCCAGAACCATCTTGTTGGTTACTTGGTGAGAGTAGCAGTGTTAGAAGCAAGAGGGATAGAACCACCAGACAACCAGGTAAATGATAGTGCCCAAATGTTTGACCATAAAAAAAAAGAAACTGTGGAAATCAAGACTATCCCAGCCACCAAAGCAGCTGATGAGCTGCGCAATTGTCTAACACCACCTCTGTGTCAGGTTCAGTTGGGAGCCACTACATCCTACCTATCATTCGTGGAGGTCTACTTCTACTGAGACATTGCTGGAATGATGACCTTGAAGTACGCACAGAAACTGGTTACACAGATACTGGTTACACAGATACTGGTTACACAGATACTGGTTACATACATACTGGTTACAGAGATACTGGTTACACAGATACTGGTTACACAGATACTGGTTACACAGATACTGGTTACATACATACTGGTTACAGAGATACTGGTTACACAGATACTGGTTACACAGATACTGGTTACACACATACTGGTTACAGAGATACTGGTTACACAATACTGGTTACACAGATACTGGTTACACAGATACTGGTTACATACATACTGGTTACAGAGATACTGGTTACACAGATACTGGTTACACAGATACTGGTTACACAGATACTGGTTACATACATACTGGTTACAGAGATACTGGTTACAGAGATACTGGTTACACAGATACTGGTTACACAGATACTGGTTACAGAGATACCGGTTACACAGATACTGTTACATATACATGTATACTGGTTACACAGATACTGGTTACACAGATACTGGTTACACAGATACTGGTTACACAGATACTAGTTACACTACTGTTTTAGTGAACAAGCCAAGATATTGCATGAATATTACCTGAAGCACTTAAAACCCTACTGTTTTAGTTAACAAGACAAGATATTGCATGGATATTACCTGAAGCACTTAAATGCCTACTGTTTTAGTTAACAAGACAAGATATTGCATGAATATTACCTGAAGCACTTAAATGCCTACTGTTTTAGTTAACAAGCAGTGAGACTACGAGCGGAACTATTGGTTCTCCCAACTGAAAGTGACACAAGCAGGATGAGCACCAGCATGTTGGGAAGGTCCCAGGTGTGAGTGGATGGATGTCCCTGCTTGTCTTACCTACTGCTTCATTTCCATCAGCTCCTCCATCAGCTCCTTCTCCCACTCCTCACTATCCACATCATCATCATCATCATCATGATGGTCTGAAGCATGACACCCAGAACCACCTAAGCATGCAACTCAGCTCAGCGTTTATTAACACACCTCCCTCCACCATTGGCACTGTCTTGAGTACTATGGTGTGAGTGGATTCCTTTATAATCCCGGGGCAAATCTTGCTCTTTTGACTAGTCAAGCGGGGATGCAGCTTTTTGTAAAAGGGATGGGTGCATTTTTGATTTGGCAATTCATGTTCAGTAATCATGTAATGATGTGGAAAAAATAACACTAAATGAGTTAGTCACAGTGTTGTTATACATTTAAGTATTGAACATGCTTTGAAAAGGTGTGCAAACCCCCCTTCTGAATCTGTGAATACTGGATAAGATGGACATTGACCCAAACTGCATCTAGCTGGTCTCTACCTACCATCGTCAGGCAAAAGATATCTGACATGACACAATCCAACAGATCTTGACATACTTTTAGAACAGACACAAGATATCTGATGTGCCACAATTGAGCAGATCACTGCCTACCATCGTCATACAAAAGATATCTGGCGTGACACAATCCAACAGATCTTGACATACTTCTAGAACAGACACAAGATATCTGATGTGCCACAATTGAGCAGATCACTGCCTACCATCATCAGACAAAAGATATCTGACATGACACAACTTGAAGTCTCGACCTACCTTCTTTAGAGTCGGCCTCCTTCTTGTCCTCCCCGACCCCGAGCTGTTTCATCTCCTTCCTGATGTCCTCCTCACTCAACTCATCAGCATTGAAAGCATCACTGACAAACTCATTGTCAGCTGGGGGGCTCTCTGGGGGGAGGTCCTCCACCTTATCAGCAGCCTCCGCAGGAACTGTCTTCGGGGAACTCGAGTCTGGAAGAGGAGAGATATTCTCATAGTTACAGCACAGACAGTTGATCATAAACCCTTGGTTTTCTCTGATCCAAACTATTTCACTTTAACCTTTAGCCTGCTGAATTGTTTTCACACTTCTTAGCCCTGCCTGCTGGATTAAGTTTAGCATAAGGCGCTCTAAAGAGGGTGGGTGATTTCAAACAGTCAGTGCTTCATTTTACAAGGGCCAATTGAAGAAATATTTTGCACACTTATTCCTGAAAGAAAAATACACATTACTATGTAACACATTCCTGATGTTTTCAATCATTCCAAGGTTAAGACCAAGATTTGTAAATTTTCGTGATCTTGCCTGAATTCCGTTATTGAAGGTGGTTTACGTTGCATGTTAGCAACCTTTTTAAATCGTTAAATTTGTGCAAATCTATTTCAATAATCAGATCTCCGATATCTTAATTATAACTGAGTATAAATTTGACAGTAGCAACACAGCTAGTGACACACTCTGTCGAACTGGTTCGACAGTAGCATTGAGAGCTTATATAAGAGATGATAATATATTAAGAGATGTTGAATTTATGTCCATTTTAATGACAAAATGAACACATATGATCGTTTCCTTTTAAATTAATCCAATTGAAATCAGATCTTAGAGCTTGTTACTGCTACACATAGATCTGTGGACATACCATTACAGGTCACGCCAGAATGACCTTTCATTCGACCATTCGCTCGTGAAAGTGATAGTCCGAATGTGTTTTCTAATTATGCAACCATGGAAATGTTTGCACAAGGCATTCTGAACAACAGCTAGAGGCTGTACGACGGACGGTCAAAATCATCATCTATCGCTTGCTTCAATGGGTTAACATCTGAACTAAAGGAACTTTCATAGCCTGTGGGAAGTACTGCCATGCAACCTCAGCAATCTATTAGATTTTCCGACCCGTGAAGATTCCGGGGTAGAATAGGTCTTCAGCAACCCATGCTTGCCGTAAAAGGTGACTATGCTTGTCGTAAAAGGCGACTAACGGGATCGGTTGGTCAGGCTCGCTGACTTGGTTGAAGCATGTCATCGATCCCAATTGCGTGGATCGATGCTCATGATATCGATCACTGGATTGTCTGGTCCAGACTTGATTATTTACAGACCGCCGGCATATAGCTGGAATATTGCTGAGTGCGGCTTTAAACAAAAAACCAACCAACCAACCTGAATTTTCCTTTGTTCAGTTTTCAAATTTTCAATAAAGATCTTTGTCAACTTTGTTAATTTCAGAGCTTAGTCGGGAATGAAAGTGCCAAATTTAAAACTAGTGCCATAAAGTTTGAGAAAGCTGCTTTCTGATTGGCTAATATCAACTTCCTGTCCATTGGTCAGTCAAAGTACATGAAAGGTCATTCTGACATGACCTGTCTCAGATCTTTGTGTAGAGATAGATTTAGTGAGATTGATTGTTAATAATTAATGTTGGTTATATAGTTGTCTTGCAAGATAATATATTTTCATACAACAAATTTATATCATTATCTAACTAATAATGTCTAATAAACATAAAAGTAAAAGATCAGGTCTGCTAGACACATTAGCATCAAAGAAGTGATAAGCCATATGAAAGAACCTCAATTTAATGTCACCTAATGTGAAGTCTAATCCGGGGAAATGCATTAAGCCTTGAACACATGTAACACACAGGGAGGGTCAATATCAAACTGACAGCCATAAAGTAGTACTTGTGGGACACCAATGAATAACAATTATCCCTAAAACTGGCATTAATACATAGTCCCCACAACACATACCAAGAGTCATCAGAACATGACAAATCCCCCGGCCCCACAATAGCAAGGGCACCACTTCAGCCCTTGGTAAATACATGTACCAAGTTTGGATGAAAAATCTATCACGGTTTTCAAGTAATGCTCCGGAAACGAAATATGGATGGATAGATGGATCAGATGATGACTATATCCCCCGCCAGAAGGATAAAAATATATTGATTATTGACCAGCAAATTTATGTCTTACATCACATACTTATACCATCATCACTACCCACACAAGCTTCCTAATGACTCCAATGTGTGAAGCCCATTTGTGGCGTCCTCCGCTGTGATATTACTTAGGGCTGTTACAATTCACTTGTGTATTCGGTGAATTGAATCAGACCCATTCATGAATTGAATTCGTTATTCGTGGCCACTAGAATCAAATATGCAATCATGTGCATTTACATACCCTGTACCCAATAATAATATTCATAAGAACATATCATATGCATAGATGTCTTCAAAAGACAACACTCTTATAATAATTAATTTGACTGTATTTTGGTCACTGGTCATTGTCGCATATAGGCAGATACTAGAACCTGGATAAGTGCAATATATCAATGTATAATATATTAATAATTAACAAACCATGTCAAATAATATATGTTGTTATTGTTCCACTGAACATAAACAATACGTCAACTGCTGACATGTTATGATATTCGTGAATTAATATTCGTATTCGTTACCCTATATTCATGATACGAATTGTATTCGCCTCATAGTGTATTCGTTGCAGCCCAAAGATTACTGGAATATCGCTAAAACTTTTAGTAAAAGTGGCGTAAAACCATTCTCACTCACTCCTGATGACGACATGCCTTAACTAAAGCATATACATAACATAAGAAAAAATTTCATTTTCCGAAAGGCTAACCCAAGCCAAAATGGAACTTGCATAATCTGAAACGACAGTAAAAGTTTTCAAAGAAATGCAAATGACTGCATGGGCTCCAATCCCCAAACCAGGAAAAATATGCAAGCTGTTTAAAGACTGCATTTACACCATGCCTCGTGACTCCAATTTTTTACACCAGCAATTAGGTTAATTATCCCACGTTAAATCTCACAGACAGAGCCAGGACAGACACAATCGAGTTGCCAGCCAGCAATGTCAGCTATCTTGCACCTTGATGTATTTCATCAGTTTATTTTGATTTTCTGTCTGCACTGTCTAGACGAGTGGCTCGACTGGGCTGCATAATATAGACAGATCTTGTTACAAGCTTAACGTTGGACAATTACCCAGCATTCATTATGCATGCTATCATTAGCTTTTTGCAACTTCTTTAAAGGCAGAATGACTGCATGACTGCTTGATAAGTACCCACAAATTTCGGTCTACAGATTACTAAAAATAGATATAAATATTCATAGAAGATGGGACACAGAAAAGCTTGATATTCTTGAAATAATTCTTTTCAGAAATCAAGATTAGGAGGAACTTGTTAGCTCATATGGGTAATTACTTGATAAAAGCCCAGGCCATAACTTGTTACCATATTAATGAATCTATGTTTGTGAATGATGCCTAAAAGATAAAAAATCCATAATTTCATGACAGGTTTGCCTCCTTATAATCCAAGGGTTGAAATTAGTCACAGGAATATAGTTTTTGTGTGTCTATTAGTCATTGCAGGCATATTTATAAATACCTCCTCATACTGTAAAAATGTGGGAATCAAACCCAGGCCTGCTGAATGACAAGCAAATACACTGACCATTGTGCTACTGTGATGGTGATTAAGTGAGTGAGTGACTTGTTTTTAAAGCCTCTTTGAACAGCATGTACCAGTTATATCACGGCGTGTCAGCTTGATGTGGGAGGAAAGCCTGAAGAGATGCAGTTCTCAGATGTTTACCACTTTGGTGAAATCCACAAGCACGGGTATGGTGCTGACAAACCGAGAAACAGAATCAGGGATTCAAACTCACGATCATAGGTTTCACAATCCAGTGATTGACACAATTGGGATATGACATGCATCAACCAAGTCAGCGAGTTTGACTACCAGATCCTGTTTGTCACTACTAATGACAAGCATGGGTTGCTGAAGACCAATTCCAACCCGGATCTTCACGGAGGTTCTCAACTGTTATGCCTGTTGGACGCAATAGTTTGCGGTAAAACTCTCTTAAAAGTCATTTTGGAAATGTTTTGTAAATTTATCATCATTTATTTCTTGTGTTAGCCAGCTGACAAATATTACTGACTGACGGTAAAGTGAAATTGTTCTGATCACCATTTTGCCAGCAAATGAATCAAAGAATCGTAAGAAGCGTTTCCTATAATAACTGTCCAGAACACCAGGATTCCGGACATACAGGGTCTGGACTGACATGGTTAAAATGTACAAGTTCTAACGAGAATCATAAAATGACTCATTTGTCTGAACGTAACTACAAACAATGCTGTGTTATAGCCATTACATTACCAAACAATAAACAAATCTATCAAGGAAAACTATTTGGAAACAAAATAAACATGATGAAAACAAATGAAAATATATTGTATGTGAGAACCATAGAGATCATAATGACACAACTGAATGTTATATCTATATCGAATTTCAAATTATGTTAGAAAACAGATGCTAGTAAATTTCATCATCTGTACAGTAAAAACCCAGACCGTCTCTACATTGATTTCAGTGAAATCTCGTGACTGAGTGACAATACCGACATTGATTATTTCCAAGTATAGATCCTGGGTAACATACTGCTGCCCTACTTCTAGACATGTCATTTCACATATGTTCGGTGGGGTGAGGCTGCGTGATTATCAGGATCGTAATATAACAGTAAATATTGTTCACAAGCATGCTGACAGTGGTCATTTGTGTGAGCAGCAGGTGTTGATCATCTGTGTGTTTGTGTTTGTGTGTTTGTGTTTGTGTTTGTGTGTGTGTGTGTGTGTGTGTGTGTGTGTGTGTGTGTGTGTGAGTGCGCGTGTGTAAGTGCATTTGTGTGTAAGTGTGCATGTGTGGTAGAGGTATGTATGTGTTAAAAAACCCAACTAACCACAACAAACATCAACATACGAAACCATTCCTGAAGAGAGAGCAAATTGAAGAACCTTTTCGTCTAACAGATTCTCTTATCATTATGTCAAATTAATTTTTGTGAAATAAAACAAAATGCACCTTAATACTTGCATATAATAACCAGCCATCAGGCCTCATATAT